CATTATTTCAGCATATATGTCCTTTGACTCATTGGACACCTGAAAAGATGATTTTATGGGGAAAACAATATTTTTGGAAACTTTCTCTCACAGTGGCTCATAAAGCATATGCTCATTGTCCTATATATCCTAAATATAATCCCAGGAAACCACTTCATGAGTCACAAGGACACTTTCCCCTTCCTAAGGGACTCTGAGGTATGGCAATTGGGCTTTGTTCACATGTCACCATCTCAAGGATATAAATATATTTCGGTAATGGTTTGTATGCTTTCACATTGGGTTGAGGCCTTTCCTTGCAGAAGACCAACAGCTGTAATAGTAGGTAAATTGTTATTGGAAAGGATAATTCCTGTTTGGGGAATTCCTTCTGAGTTAAACAGTGACTGGGGAGCGCATTTTACCAGACAAGTAATTAAATCTATTTGTGACATTTGGTCAATAATGCAGCACTTTCACTGTGCTTATCATCCCCAGTCATCAGGATTGGTGGAAATAACTAATGGCACTATCAAAACTCAATTGGCAAAAGTTTCAGAAGCATTTAATCTCTCATGGCCAAAAGTTCTTCTGCTAGTACTTCTTAATCTTATGTCTACACCTTTCGGTAAACATCGCCTGTCTCCTTTTGAAATAATAGCAGGATGGCCTATGCAATTAGATGAGGGAATGTATGAACCAACTTTACCCAAGGGAGATATATTACATTATTGTCAGGGTCTTATTGAGTTACTTAAAAGATATGAAAAGTTGGTATCTGATTCCTTTCACAGTGAGGTCCCAGGAGATGAAGACCTTAAGGATCATGGACTACAACCTAGAGATTTTTTTTATTGGAAAAGGCATCAAATAAAAGGACCTTATCAGGTGTTATTGACTAATCTATGAACTGCCAAATTAAAAGCCATAGACTCACTGATTCACATCTCTCATTTTAAAAAGGTCCCTCCAACCTGAGTGGATTTTGACCCCTGTTGCTGACATCCAGCTTTGACTGACTAAGACAAGCACCACCAAGCCAAGATGAGAAGAAGATGACATCAGGGTAGACAGCTCCTCCCAGGACTCAGGACTAGGATTGTTTTCTTACTTTTCCTCCATTTTATCACATCTGGTACCTTAGACAATATTGGACTCACTGTCTATCCTCCCCTGGCCCTCTATTACATCCCAAGGAAATATCACGGCTGCCTGCCAATCTAACTAATATAAGCCCAAACACAACCTTAGTTTCATAGTATGATGACGACTTAGATAAAATGTTTACGATTCCTTGAGTGTACCCTAATATTCTCTTGGCTTTTGGAACTTACTTTTTGGTATATGTATATTACAGAGGGCCATTGTAAGGGAAAACTTTCAGAAAATATTACCTAATACAAATCTAACTTGCAGTGTATAAAATACCCAACAAACTGACCACTAAGTATCTATAAACTTAGAACATCAATTATTAAGTATCTATAAACATAGATGATCAATTATTAAGAAAAGTTCATGGATCTGATGGAAAAAAATTAGTGGCTGCTTGCTCAGTATATCAAAATAGCCAATGTACTTATAAACCATGTTTTTGTGAATGCAATGGCCTAAAACGAAATAAGAAAAAATAATGGATATATATTAAAAATTCCATTTTAGGGGTAACCTGCTGGGTTCAACTTTTTCCTAAGTTTAATCTTACTGTAAGACCAGGAAGATTACAGAAAAACCTATGGCATACTCTAACAAAGATATATTCAGGTGTTACTACTATCCATTTAACATTAGTCTGGGGAACACAACATTTTTGGGTCCAAAACCTTTATCCTAATTGCACCAATGATGTTAACCTGCAGTGGCAACAACACATTTGGTGGATTAATCAGCACTGGCCCAAAAGGACAAAGCAAACTTTGGAGCGATAGGATCAGGGTTAGGTAATATTGGACAGGCTGAATTTACTTTTACTGAAGAAAGACATTCAGAAGAAAAAAATATTCTAACCCAAATGGTAAATTGGAGGGGCTATTATTGCAAGAGGAAAGTAAAGGATAGAAATCTGCTTGGGCTGATAATTTAGTACTAACGAAGTGGTTAAAACAGACTGAACGTATCATGGCAGAAAATGCCCATACCCAACAATGGGAAAGAGCATGCCCTTTAATTCAAGAAGGGCTTTTTAGACATGCTAATTCAAATGGAGTCTGAAGTAGCAATGGGTCAATGGCCTTCTTTGCTCACAGCAGAAGCCCAAAATGTACATCTATGGAAGTTATATAGTTCACCTAACTTATGGAAATTTATCAAAGAATCCTGAAATTCACGTAAGTGTTCTATCACAGCTTTAGCGCCTAAACTTACAACAAGCCACGCATATGATGTTGTTCAATTGGTAGGAATAGGGATCATTTTAAGTTCTACCTCTAAGATTCTCCCTCTTGGGGGAAGATGGGCCTAACTATCAAGTAATTCCTACTGGACCCCTATATCCATTCAGATTTGTGAATTCCAACAATGTATGTGGCTATGCCTTGAACAACGATGGAACTCCGGATTTACTACCAGTTATCCTATAACAACTACACACATACAAAAAGATATATGGTATGTGAGTAGAAGAAAATTTTGTTCAGAAGGTTTAAAAAACACCTCCATCTTTCTTTTTGACCTGTATTGTCAAAAAAATATCTTTTGTCATAACTTTACTTCTATATTGTGTAATACCGGTTTTTCTAGTCAAACAGAACTGCCTAGCTTTAATAAGATGTATACTCATATTGATATTGATTATCAAATGCTTTGAGAAATAGGACTACATCCATCACAAGATGTAATTTCAACGGAATCTAATTGGGCTGAAAAATCATTACAGGTAGCAACTGAAGATCTTATTACTATATTAAATCAGTCTGCCCAAATTTATCATAACAGTAGATAAGGGAGGCAAACAAATACTTAAATTAGTACAAAATAGCCAAAATACCTATAGCAGATTCTTTGGTTTCTTCTCTTGTCTCTTTAAATCTGTGCCTACTCCACATTGGTTATTTCAAATATTATTAATTGGCTTCTTATCATTGTTATTATATCTGTTCTATAAACGTTATAAACAATGTGATTGCAAAAAGCCACATAAAAGTACATGTACAATGCTTATACAACAATTCGATCTAATTTACGATATGTATAACCTATAAAAATACTTCCCCCATCAGCATATACCTCCAGGCTTGTCAATTATATTTGACTATTTCCCCCCAACCTGGATAACCAGGCAAGTCAATAAAAATAAAAGCCCAGCTCTGTGGGACATGATGGATCCAGAGCAGGAAGGAACCACCCTGGCTTTATGGGACAAATATCTTGATCATTAATGCTTTCTATTGAAAGATTATTGATCAAAAGGGGAAAATGATATAAGAAATTTTCACATATTGAGGTGTGTAGGAGAGCCACTCTGGTGTATACCTGATTTGGCCTGAACTTTATGCAGAAAAAAAAGCCTGACTTACATTGTGCTGACTTACATTGTGAGTCAAACATACATTGTACATTTGCTTTCAACATTACCCTAAAGTAAAGAATGTACTCTTTGAAGATAGAGATGCATGCCTCCCTCCCTATGACTCCAATTCCTGTACTCCTTTGAAGATAATTTTCTCTTCCCAGATGACAGGGTCATGTTGACCCACTGTAACAAAATGTCTCCTTGAAACCTTGAAGGAATGTACCCGTCATGCTTGCTGTATGTTCTTTGTTCTGAAGTGGTATATAAACTGTGCCGAAAACCATGCTTCTCTAGAGCACTTTCTTCTTTGGCGAAGGCTGCACTCCCGGGCTAGTCCTCAGTTTGGGTTGAAGAAAACTCTCTTCTATTCTTTACTATAGATTGATTATTGACTATTTGCATCAACAATTCATTCTGTGGGGCTGCCTAAATACTAACTGCCTCCTTATGTTATCAGTTTAAAATATAATAAGTGTCCTGATAAAACATGCACACTGCTTAAATTTGAATAACTCATAAAAATAGGTAATGCAGGGGCACTGCTGAAGGGTGTCTGGACCCCATTGAACACTGGCAACTTTGAGGTGATTAAAGCTTGTAGGTGACCCTAGTTGGAATATACAGAAATAAACTGCTTCCATGTGCTTCTTTGTACTGAGGATATGTGGGGACTCACACAGACACACTCAAGGCTATGGAATGAAGATCATTTTAAAGTACAACCACCTGGAATCACAGATATACTGTCCAGGAAAGTAAAACTTAGGAGCTTTGTGAGTCTGATTGCAGTACTGTTTAGATACTTTTATATATAAAGGGGCTAAATTCACTTCTTTCATAGATTAGATTCCTGATGTTCAGGGGTTTTCAAGATTGTGTTACCCACTGTAGTTAATGAACAGAAAGGAACCTGATGTCTATGGGAATCTCTATCTAGTGTTTCCAGGTGCAACTCCTTCAGATGTAAAGAGAAAACCCCTGTTCTGCCACCTCCATTCCCAAGGCGAGCTCACTCACTAGTATCAAGTTCCCTGGGGGTGAGCTTTCTTCTAGAAGAGTCCAGGGGCAGAGGTAAGGGGTGGGAGGCAGGGAGTCCATTTCAGGGAAAGTGATTCCAGTAAGAGGAGGGAAAGGGGCTGATCCCAGCCTGGGGGGGGTCTCTCTGTGGTTTCCTCAGACAGCCCCGGGGCCAGGACTCAGGGAGACAGTGTGACAAAGAGCTCTTGGTGCAGGAGGAGAGGGGTCAGGGCAAAGTCCCAGGTCCCCGGACGTGGCTCTCAGGGTCTCAGGCCCGAGGGCGGTGTCTGGGGCGGGAAAGCTCAGTGTTGGGGAGTCCGTCTCCCTGACTTTCACTTCTCCCTCTCACAACCTGTGTCAGGTCCTCCCACCTGGAGACTCATGACGCGGCCCCAGTTGTCACTCTCATTGCGTGTCCGGTTTCTAGAGACGCCAATCAGCGTCTCCGCCGTTCCCGGTTACACAGTCTCCATGGACCCGCCAGTTCTCAGACTCTCCCCAGACCCAGAGGATGCGAGTCAAGGCACCCCGAACCCTCCTCCTGCTGCTCTCGGGGGCCCTGACCCTGACTGAGACCTGGGCGAGTCAGTGCCGGGTCGGAGGAAACGGCCTCTGCGGGGGGCGGAGCGAGGGGACCGCGCGGCGGGGACGCAGGACCCCCGGGGAAGGTGCGTCTCCGCGGACTCAGGCCCAGACCACCCCCAACACGACCCCTTTCCGTCCTGACCCTTTCCTCCTCCCCCTCCCTCCTCTTTCTACCGTAAGGTAAGTCCTTCCCCTTCTCGGTTCGCCACTCCTTTTCCGTCTCACGATCCCTTCGCCACCGCCCCGCCACCTCCCGTCCCCATCACCCTCGGACCCGGGACCCGCGCCGGGAGGAGGGTCGGACCCGGTCTCAGCCCCTCCCCGCCCCCAGGCTCCCACTCCCTGAGGTATTTCGGCACCGCCGTGTCCCGGCCCGGCCGCGGGGAGCCCCGCTTCATCGCCGTCGGCTACGTGGACGACACGCAGTTCGTGCGGTTCGACAGCGACGCCGCGAGTCCGAGGATGGAGCCGCGGGCGCCGTGGGTGGAGCAGGAGGGGCCGGAGTATTGGGAAGAGCAGACGCGGAACGTCAAGGACACCGCACAGAATTTACGAGTGGAACTTAACACCCTGCGCGGCTACTACAACCAGAGCGAGGCCGGTGAGCGACGCTGCCCGGGTCCAGGTCACGACCCCCACCCCCACGGACGGGCCGGGGTCTCCGTGAGTCTCCAGGTCCGAGATTCACCCCAGGGCTGCGGGACCCGCCCGGCCCCTCCACCCAGGAAGAGCCGGCGGGAACTTTTGCCTGGTATCCTTTTCAGTTTAGGCTTAAAGGCTGCCTGGTGGTCGGGTCGGGGGCGGGATTGACCACAGTCGCGGGGCTGACCCAGGGGGCGGGGTTAGTGTCTCACACCTTCCAGTGGACGCACGGTTGCTACGTGGGGCCAAATGGGAGCCTCCTCAGCGGGTACAGTCAGTACGCCTACGACGGCGTGGATCACCTCTACCTGAACGAGGACCTGCGCTCCTGGACCACGGTAAACGCGGCGGCTCAGATCACCCTGCGTAAGTTGGAGGCGGCAGGTGCATCTGAACAGCACAAAAACTACCTGGAGGACACGTGCGTGAAGTGGCTCCGCAGATTCCTGGAGAACGGGAATGAGACGCTGCAGCGCGTAGGTACTAGGGGCCGCGGAGCCTCCCCGATCTCCCCTCAGGCTGAGGGCTTCTTACGAGGAGAGGAGGAAAATGGGATGACACCAGAACACTCCCGTCCTGTGGGTCAGAAGACTAAGTCCGTTTGGGTTTTCAGATCCGGTACCAGAGAGTGACTCCCCCAGAGGGCACGCCTTCCTCTCAGGGACATTAAGGGGTCCACTCTCTCAGGGATGGAAGGGGAACCTAACCTGAAATAACTGACAATTGGTTCCCTTTGTCTCTGGAAGCAGCTCTGGGACTTTATCTCTCAGTTCTTGTTCTCTGCCCCGCACTCTGTGTGTCTGAGGTCTGACTCCAGCTTTTCTGAGTCACTCGGCCTCCACCCAGGTCAGGACCAGAAATCCCTTTTCTTCCCATCAAAAACCTGCCTCATACCCTGGGCTGTCTCACCCTGATTCTAGAAATTTCCAAAGAAAAAGAGATCATCCTTGAAGCCTGTATCCAGGCTGGTGACTGGATTTTGTGCTTCCATTCCCCCAGTCCAGTTGTCCTGTCCATTCTCAGGATGGTCACATGAGCGCTGCTTCAGTGGCCCAAGACAGATACAAAGTTCTTGAATTTTCTGACCCTTCCCCTCAGACCCACCAAAGACATATGTGACCCACCACGCCATCTCTGACCACGAGGTCACCCTGAGGTGCTGGGCCCTGGGCTTCTATCCTGCGGAGATCACCCTGACTTGGCAGCGGGATGGGGAGGACCTGACCCAGGACACCGAGTTTGTGGAGACCAGGCCTGCAGGGGACGGGACCTTCCAGAAGTGGGCGGCTGTGGTGGTGCCTTCTGGAGAGGAGCAGAGATACACGTGCCATGTGCAGCATGAGGGGCTGCCTGAGCCCCTCACCCTGAGGTGGAGTAAGAAGGGAGACGTGGGCTCAGAGCCTCTCCTCAGGGAAATCAGGAGCCCTTCTGGAGACTTTCAGCAGGGATGGGGTTGAGGCCTGGGGGTCACGGCCCTCACCTTCCCTTCCCTTCCCTTCCCTTCCCAGAGCTGCCTCCTGAGTCCATCATCCCCATTGTGGGCATCATTGCTGGCCTGGTTCTCCTTGCAGTTGTGGTCACTGGAGCTGTGGTGGCTGGAGATGTGATCGGGAGGAAGAAGCACTCAGGTAAGGAAGGGGTAGGGCCTGAGTTTTCTTGTTCCACTGTGGGGTTTCAAGCCCAGATAGAAGTTTGTCCTGCCTCCTTAATGGGAAGTACTGTCCATACCCACCTGTTCTTTCCTGGTGTGGGGCCCTATTGGCTAACACTTGCTCCTTATTAATGCACATGTAATAATGAAGGACAAATTTATCACGTTGATGAGTCTGGTGGTGGGGACCTGATTCCCAGCAGTCACAGGACAGAGGGGAAGGTCACTGCTGAGGACAGACCTCCGAGAGGGTAGTTGGTCCAGTCCCCACACATGTACTGTCCTCATGTTTCCTGATTCTGCCTTGGGTCTGTAGTCACAGACTACAGGGTCTGGAAACTTCACTGGGGTCTAAGACTAGGGGGTTCCTTTAGGACCTCATGGCCCGGTCTCCTCTTTGGTTTCTCACAGGATGTTTTCTTCCCACAGGTGGAAAAGGAGGGAGCTACACCCAGGCTGCAGGTAAATATGGAGTGGGGAGGAACCTGAGACCTTTAGGATAGTATAGACGGGATCCCCTGGGGGGAGCTCACCCATCCCATAATTCCCCCTTTAGTCTCGTCTCCTGTAGGCTCTGACCACATCCTGTTGTGTTCTACCCCAGGCAGCAACAGTGCCCAGGGCTCTGAAGTGTCTCTCCCAAGAAGTGAGATTCTGGAGGGCCTGAAGTGGGGAGAGGTTGAGGCAGAGGGGCAGGACTGGGTTATGGGGATTCTTTGGTTGGGACATTTTGAACATGCGGTGGGCTGTTCAGAATGTTACCAATTACAGTCACTGATTTGAATTTGTTCATGATTATTTTCTTCTGTAGTGTGAGACAGCTGCCTTGTGGGGGACTGAGTGATGCAAGATTTGTTTATGGCCCCTCCCACTGTGACTTCAGGAATCTCTGACTTGTCTTTCTGCAAAGGGCATCTGAATGTTCCTATAACCATAACGTGAGGAGGTGGGGAGACTGGCCCACCCTGTACCTACTACAAACTCCTCCCCACACTGACCTGTATTCTCTTCCCTGATCAACTTCCGTTCCAGCAGAGATGGGGCTGGGCCATCTCTATCCCTGTCTTAACTTCATGTGCACTAAGCTGCAACTTCTTACTTCCTAACTGAAAATAAGAATCTGGATATGAATCTGCTTTTTCAAATTCTTGCCATGAAAGATTAATGGGTTAATTGAAAAAGAATATTCCTAAAATTTAGGAGAGGAAATAAATGGAAGCGTTCAGAACATTCCAGAATCCATGTGTTTGCTGTGCTGAGTCTGTTGCAGGTGGGGACAGGAGAAGGCTGTGAGGAGTTGAGCATGGATCAGGCCTGTGTCCAGTCAGTGCTCAGTGCATCGTGGGCTTTGACACGGCCACTCCTGGGCTGGGTTATCTCTCTGCTCCTTTGTCCTTGGCCCGTCAGTAAACCTTGTCCCATCAGGACCTGTAATTGCAGGGACTTAGACATCATTTGGGCCTTGTGTCTCCAGGACCGTGGCTGCAAGGGCTTCGTGTGACTGGCTCAGCCTAGACTCAGGCCTGGGTGTTGGCCTCAGCCCCCTTTTGGGTGTTTGTTTATGTAGAGGATTAGGCCTGTTCTTATTCTTGTGTACAATTTCTGGTCGTATTCTGCTCTGTGGGACCCCTGTCTCTGATAGCAGCAGGAGTCGTTTGGCCTGTCATTGTCCCCACAAGGCAAGGCAGCCCTGCACACTGGCATCCGTGGTGTCCAGAGATGAATTTTCAGGCTCATCCAGCTCTACTCTCCATCTAGGGCTTAATTGTCATTTCCACCTTTTCCCAACCTTCTCAACAGAGCCAGATTCTCGAATTAGAGAGGAGGGATCTCATAATTTCTTATGCTAGATAAGTTCCTGTTGGGATTCTTCTGCTCTGCAGCCTGCCCTCTCTCCTGGCCCTTAGCTCTAGTTATCCTAGTGCTGGCTCCAATCCAAACTCATGATTTAAAGCAGAGTCTACTTTAGATTTATATTTGCTTGGCAAATAGGACCCATAAGTCGAGATCATTGTTTTCTGAAGAGAGAAATGTATTGTGTGCTGTGGTGTGCAGGAGAGTTGTCTGGGAGGGAGAGATGGAGGGAGGGGGAGGGGAGAGCAGCACTTGTGAGAAAAGTGCAGGTAGTATTGATGATAGTGTGAGTGCAGGTTGTGCTGTAGCTGCCACAAAATAGCACGTGGCCTGAGGTTACATTATTAAAGATACTGTCTGTAGAATAGGGAGGTGCTCTACACTGATCATTCATTCACCTAATATGGGTTGTGTGCCAATGTGTGACACTATTTTTGCATGAGGGAAACATCAATGAAGTAAAAACAGAAAAATTGCTGGCCTTGTGGAGCATATGTTGTAGTGGGAAGAGACAGACTACATGCTATAAGAGTAGTAAATAAGGAAAGTGTTTACGTTAAAAGGTGGTAAGTGCTATGGAAAGAATGCAGGCGGGAAGGCGATCCAAAGGCTGGAGGTGGGGACAGGGAAGATGGCTGTTTTAATTTGAGCGGTTAGTGTGGGCCTCACTGGGACGGCGACCTTTGAGGAAAGATGTGAAGGGCATGAGGAATTATCCACGAGGATGTCTGGGGGAAGTTCTTTCCAGGCAAGGGAACCACCAGTGTAAATGCGCTAGGGCAGGAGTGTGTCTGTGTATTCTGGGAAGAGCAAGGGGGCCAGTATGGCTGGAGCAGAGAGCAATCGAGATGATATAGAGGTGCAGCTAGAACCACGTAGGCCTGGAAGATGTTAAAAGTGTTTTGGCCTTTGCTCTGAGTAAGATGGGGAGTTACAAGACAGTTTAGAGCGGGAGAGGGACACGGTATGACTTCTCCTTTAAAAGGACTACAGTGGATGCTGTGCTAAGAGCAGAACTGGGAGGCACTAGGGAAGCAGCAGGAAAGTAGTGCAGTGTTCCAGGATGGAGATGTCCATGGCTTCCACTGGTGTGAATGGTGTAATAGTGGGAAATGATTTGATTCTGGATAAACATTCTGAAGATGGACTTTGCAGCATTTCCTAATGAATTAAGTCTGGGAATGAGAAGGAGGAGTCAAGGAGGACATCCAGAATTTTGGACTATGCAAGTAGAAAGATGGAGTTGCTGTCAGCGGAGATGGGGAAGACTCTGAAAGGAGCATATGTACAGGCGTTCAGTTTAAGAGATGGAGCTGAGATACCTATTAGAAATAAAAGTGAGGTTGTTAGATTGACAGTTGGACAGATGAGTCTGGAAATTAGGAGAAATGTCTGAGCTGGAGAAATAGATTTGAGAGGTCACACCATATAAATGATATTTAAAGCCTTAAGAATGGATGAGGTCACCAAGGGATTGATGGCTACAGAAGAGAAAGGAACAAGGACTGAACCTTGGATCCCTCAGTACTAAAGGATCTGATCAGACCACACACCCAGGGCAGACTACACAGTTCTGGCTCCACGTCTATCTAGAAGGCTTGGAGACCAGGGAATCCGAAACTTTCCTGTGCACAGCAATCCCCTGTACATCTTGTTAAGATTCGGAGTCTGGAGTACAGTCTGCAAGTCTGTATTTATAACAAGGTACTTATGCTGCTGATGCTGCTGGTCTTCAGATCACAGTTTTAGTAGCAAGAACGTAGACCAGGATTCCCACATGGCTGTGCATCAGCCTCACCTGTAGCGCTTGTTAAATAAGAGATTCTTTGGTCTTGTACCTAATACTCTGAGATGGTGGGTCTGGGAAGAGGCCTGAGTATTTTGTAAGAAGCCACACAAGCAGTCCTGGTGCTCGGCTAGACTGGGAACTACTGAGGTCAGTGATCAGAGAGTGCCCAGGGTGGGGATGGTCTCTTAAAATCGCATTTATTTATTTTTTTAAACAGTTTTATTTATTTATTTATTTTTTGTGAGGAAGATCAGCCCCAAGCTAACATCCATGCTAATCCTCCTCTTTTTGCTGAGGAAGACGGGCTCTGAGCTAACATCTATTGCCAATCCTCCTCCTTTTTTTTTCCCCCACCCAGTAGATAGTTATATGTCTTCTTAGAATCATACAACCTTCCAAAACTGGATCAAGAAGTAGTAGAGAATTTGAATAGACCAATCACCAGTAAGGAGATCGAAACAGTAATCACAAACCTCCCCAAAAATAAAAGTCCAGGACCAGA